CCTGAACAAAAATAAACCTAAATATTTGGGTCCTTATTTGTTTAAAATCCAGCCACTTCATTTTTTCCCATATAACCCTAGATGTGGATATTTTTTAAATTATAGTCTTGTGCTGACTTCTAGACTTCAGTGACAGACAGGAGGCAGAAGGCTGCAGCAGACAGCTTAAGAACAAGCATAATGGCTTCAGCATGTGTTAAGGCAAGATCACAAGAACTGGATAAGGTTACTACGGCTGGCCAAGTCCTTGAGGTGTGCTGGCTGGGCTGTGGTGGAAATCTGCCTTGGTAAAAAGTGTGGAGTACCCTGCCCAAACCCTATCTAGGCAAAATTTTAGCACTGATATTTATGCAAGAGTTCAGAGAATGACATTAAGAGCCAGAACTGGATTTAAAAAGTATTCTTAAACATCTGCACTTGAGGTTGTGATGTCTTGGGGTTTTTTTAATGCATCATTGCTATGAAGAGTCAGACCATGGCTATGCAGACAGGGAGAGGCACCATGAAATGGCCACAGAATCTGGGGATGGGTGGGGGGAACACCCCTGTGCCCGCACCTGGGCAGGAAGGCAGAAGGTCCCTATGTCATTTAGCATGGGAGCAGAGAGGCAGCCTGGTGCAGCCCCACGCCACTTGTGCCGTGTGCTTTGGACGTGGGTTGTCCACCAACAGGCAGCCTCTCTGAGCTGCCACATGATAGTAGGTCTTCCAGGCTATGCTTGAAGCTTCCCAAGACTGGGATAGCATAAACTCCTCACTGAGGCTAATAGCTTGGACATGATGCTGTCAGAGCAGTATATTGGCAACGCCAAGATCCAGGCTTTTTTGCCTGGAGCCCATGGGAAACTGCCCCATGCTGGTTGTGTCCCTGGGTGTTGGCCATATAGCTGTCTTGCATCCTTATGGGCTGTGGGGCTACAGGCACAGAATCTATGGGAAGGAACCTATCATGAAGGAGCTGTGGCTTGTCATGCATGTGCTGTGCAAAGCAGACCTATCTTTTCAAGTTGGGCCCAAAGCTGTGTATTGGAAATGTCCCATCCTACATCGCCGTGTGGATGCACCAAGCTGACTTTGCTCTAAATTAAATTTCATAGATAAGATTGTACATACTGAAGATTTTACTCCATCGTCCTCACAAAACAGAACACTTGAGGAACAAAACAGATACAAGCTGTGAATTCAAATATTCTGACAGCATGAGCAAAATGACCATTCCCTCAGGACAGTGTCAGCAGAGCAGCATGATGCTTGGCTCCCTCACGGGCTTGCTTACCTCATGGCCATATATGCCACAGGGTCTTGTGTTTCCTGCACCCCCTTTCTGTTCTGTAGTGTTCCTAGGACAGGGAACAATCTCTCCAAGGTGAGATTGGAAAGGCATAACCCCTCCAGGTGAACTGGGGATACAGGCATCCTGCCCAAAAGGAGCTGCAAGGTGTTTGGGGCTCACATGCCCAGATATCCTGGGCTGTCCCTGCCCATTGGCAACTGACACAGGGTGACTCAGGGAAGGTCTTGGCAGTGCTGATGGTCTAGCAGGCACCAAGGCACTGAGAAAGCAGCACATAATTGTGGGAAGCCAGAAAATATCCTTCTACTGCTACAAGGGCAAGGATGGAGTCATAAGCAGTGAAAGAGGCATCAAGCGGTCCTGTCGGGCTTGTAAGGGTGCAATGGTGCTCACATTAACTCCTTGTCATGGAGATCTTCACAATATATAACTCAAGGTCTCTCTAGGTTTGATTAGAAACAGACACCCCAAACTTTGCACTGAAACTTTGAGGCCATCTCCAGTTACAGGAAGTCTGGGCATATCCATATGCAGATGTATGCAATTTGTTTCACTTCAGCAGTTAGCGTGACTGTTTTGAGGTCAGAGATCCTGTTTCTAGGGAATGAGAGTTACTTCTTGGGATGCTCAGCCGAGGATGGATGCACGCCATCCCCTCCCTACACTGCTGTCCTGCCCTCCATCCCACAGTTGCTGCTCCTCTCATGGAGTCAGCTCATCCCTGCCAGGGCCCTCAGGGGCTAGAAGTGAAGAAGCCCATGTCTGCTGCAGTGCAGGATCACGACAGCAGCATGGCTGAGCTGGCAAGGAGGGCTCTGGACTGGCAGCAGGCAGGCAGGGGAATACCCATTGTGTGCATAGCAGGGACAGTCGCTTGCTCCTTGGGGCTGATGGTTTGTGGTGGAAGTAACTATCGCTGCTGAAAGTCCGACGCCCAGCTCCCAAATGCAGTCAATGAAATTCGAACAGACTGAGAGCTTTTCTGTGTGTATATGTTTTTGCAGACCCTTTCCCAGCTAGCTGAGCTGCTCAAGCAGATAAGAAACAGCAGAGGAGTTCCCAAGGAAAGGCCTCAGGTGTTATGTTTGCTGCTGCTGCAGTTGCAGGGCACCTGGGAGTTAGGGAGGCAGCCAGCACAAAGCCGTGGGGAACTGGGCTTCCTGGTATCATAAATAATAAAAGAAAGAAAGACAACAGAAAAAAAAAATCCTGGAATACTTTCATATATTTATTGCTCTGTCTCTACTGACTCTCATAGGTGGTAGTCTATTGCTGCAGACTTTCTGGAACTGTTTTATTTTCAGCTGTGAAATTTATACATATCATGTCCGTATCATATGATCTACCTAGGCTGTGGAGCAGGGCCTCTTTTGGACAGGCCTGCCCACCTGCATCCCCCAGGAGCAGTGGAAGAGGTCAGCTGGTCAGAGAGGGGAGGTGCAAAGAGGAGGCAGTGTGTCAGTCCCTGGCCTAGACATTGGTCCAGGGAGTATAAATATTGGCAAAATGTTCCTAAGGATCAAAGCAAAGACTGCTGAGACAGATAACATCAGACTTTGGAAAGCTTTACAGGGACGTCCTCAAAAGCCTGAGCGAACAGTATCAGAGAAAGCAGCAAATCCGAAATCACAGCAGGGAGGTAGTCGCAGATAGCTCCTGCAACTGTTACCTTTACCAGACGTCTGCTTTCAACCCCACTGTACCAACTGGGCAATTTTTTTCTCAAAACCCTTTCATAGCTCATCCTACCAGACTTAAATCTGGGCCTTCCTTGCCCTTGTGCCTGAGGGTGACAGCTACATTTCATCCTGGTTTTACCCCAATCACTTCAATGCAGTCTTTCAGCTGGAAGAGTGAGAAATGGGTGAGGACACGCACACCTTCTCACAAGCTCATTCACGGGCTTTTGGCTGTGGAGACATGACAGCTGTTCACAGAAGGGCTAAACTCTAAATATACAGTGAATTAGTGGAAAGATGTAACAAGAGATAAGTGCTGGAAAAAATGGAAATTGCCAAAGACACAGGCTAAGATGCCTGAGCTGGTATTAATGACCCTGGATATGACACTGCTGGGGAAAAGCTCCCAGTGGGGACACCACTAGATGGTGGAGCTGTTTCCTAGAAAGACTGATCCTGGACTGGTAGCATTTAAAAATAGGCTAATGTGAAAATTAAAAAAAAGATCATCCAGTTGATGTACTCTTTGCTTGGTAAGGAGAGCATGAATAGGAAGTACCACTGTACCACTTCCTGGACATTTAGGAACTGAGAATAGTGGCTCAAGGTTAAAATCTGCTGTAGGGCTAACATGTTTTTTGTCCAAAGATTCCAGTCAGAAATGTGGCCAGGTGTGACAGGGAGCTGTGCAGCATGTGCAGGTTGTCTATTGTTCATACAGATCCCTCTTTTTCTGGTCTGGAGATGGCCCAAAATGCAGAGCAGTGGCACCAGACAAGGGAGAGCCGTGGTCACTTGTCAGGACGTACCAGAGTCCTGCTGGTGTAGCAGCACTCTTGCTAATGAAGGGGTCACCACTTCCGCTGGAGGCAGGAGGTGGGCAGGAGAGGATGCTCCATCACAGCACATGGGCTTGAGGATACATATGCCCCATTATAGAAGCTCAAAGGTGGTTTTACTTGTAGCTGCTACACCTTAGACAGGAACCAGCTTACCGGTTGAGTGGTTGAAATGTCCTCCTCCTGTATCACCATACTGCTGTCATACCTCATGTGCCATTAATTATTAATTGTTGAGGGTAGTCAGGCAGCAACACCTTCCCAGGCTGCTGTCAGACTCCCTCTCATTTCCTTCTGCCCCGCACACAGGCTGGGCTGTTTCTGTACGCGTCTCATGATGTCCTTTTCTGTGGCACTAAGCCCAATTTATAGCCTTCTTGCCAAAAGCAGTGCAAGTCCTCTCAGAAGGCTGTGGGGTGACTGTGGGGTATCAGTCAGGAGCACCTCTGCTGACACACCACCACTGCCAGGGGATGCAGGACAAGAAAGCAGACATAACCAAGCACCACGCATGGCTGCTGGGTACTGGTTTTCTGCTGTGTGCTATTCAGCAGGGGAGTGCCAACGAGCTGGTGACAGGGGACCTACTTGATGTGGGGAGCAGATGGGTTCCTCTATCCTCAGAGACCTTTCCTGTGGCCAGGACCAAGGAATGTAGTGCTTTGCAGGGTTCAGTCCCAATGTGAGTGTTGGAGAAGGGTCTGACTAGGTTGTGTGCACATGAGTGCACAGGGCTCATCCTTCCACCTGGCTCTTGAAGAGGGAGAAGTAGCTGGCAGAGCTTGCCCCAACTTCCTCTTCCCCATCTGTGCTGGCCTCTGTGAGCTGTGATCAACCTTCCTGCCATAACAGCCACCTCCTCCCTTGGTTACAGCCTGTGCCACCCCAAAGCTGAGCTCCAATACCTTCTGAGGCCAAGGCTGGCAGCTTTTCTGCACCCATGGCAGCCCTCTGCCTTGTCTCACCTCCTTCCTCTCTCTCTCTCTCTCTCTCTCTCTGTCCAGGGTTGGTGCCAACCTCTCTGCCCACCTTTGGGAGCTGCTGCCCCCCTGCCAGGGTGCTAGCTGTAACTGGTTGAACCAACTAATTGGTCAAAATATTTACATCTGTTTCCTTTTGTCTCTCCCCACCCCCTGCCTCTGCTGAAACCCACCTTCCTCTCCCCTCCCTGCTCTCCCACCCAAATAGGTAAAGACAGTGCTTTGGGAGAGGCCGACTTGCAGCCGAGCTCTGACCCTTCGGGAATGGACAGCAGCTACCTCAGCGTGAAGGAGGCTGGGGTGAAAGTGCCCCAGGACAGGGCCAGCACAGACCTCCCCAGCCCCATGGACAAGGCCGACTCGGAGAGCAACAAGGGCAAAAAGCGGAGGAACCGCACCACCTTCACTAGTTACCAGCTGGAGGAGCTGGAGAAGGTCTTCCAGAAAACCCACTATCCTGATGTCTATGCCAGGGAGCAGCTAGCCATGAGGACAGACCTCACCGAGGCTCGTGTACAGGTATGGGGGATGGCCTGGGGCTGGGTGAGGGGTGGGTGAGCTGCAAGCAAGCCCCTGAGGTCCCCTGCAGCCCCACCATAAACTGCAGGCGGCCGAGCCCTACCCAGAGCCTGTGCCACAGGCTAGCATGCCTCTCCAGCAGGGACAGGCCGGGAAGGTACATCCGCATCTGACACTAGTGTCAGCTCCCTTATTTGGTCTGGTGTCCTGTGCTTCAGTGTTCACAGAGACACCTCTTGCCCTTGAGCTAATGGGACAGCGGGCAGGTAAACCTCGTGGCCACTCACAACAAAGCTTTTACAAAAAACACTTTTTTCAGGAGACTCACAGGGGACACAGGTTCATTAGTCTGAGTGGGAGCAAGCTTTTCTACAAGATGGGCTCTTTCTGGCAAGATGGGGATGCAGAGGTGACCAGGAGCTCAGTAGCAGAGAGCATGAGGTGATACAGGACAAGGAGCTTTTATTGCCTGCTTGGTTAAGTAGGTGCTGAGGATGCATGAGAGCTGGAGACAAAAGGTGCACCCACCACCTTGGAGGAGCAGGAGAGTGAAACAGCTACACTGTTGACAGACTTCCAACCACCTCCACCCACACAGGTGCCAGCTCCTATGAACTAGCTCCCCCAAACTAAACTGGGGGTCCAGCAGAGCCAAAATCCACATCAAAGGAGTTTAACAGAAGGCCTGGAAGGGCTCAGAAGCATGTGCAAAAAGGAACATTATTGTGCAGAGCAGACATCCACAACTCATGCCTTGGTGGTCAGCTCTTTCTGCAGCCTAGCTAATCATGTAACTTCCATCTGCAGGCATTTGTCAGCTCACCATCCCCAGAACCTGCATTAACATCAAGAATGGTTAAGGCATGGTGCTAAAAATCACAAGGTCACGGGTGCCATCGCCACATGGGCCATTCACTTAAGCATTGGACTCACTGATCCTTGTGAGTCCCTTCCAACTTGGAATATTGTGTGATTCTGGGATTTACCTGAATAGTTGGCCTGTGGAGACACCTGATTGTATGTCTTACACCAGGCAGACTCCTAGCTCCCAGACAGCCCAGCTTCCCTCTGCTTTAACCTTTACAAGTAGTTGTTGCAGACAGTCGAAGCAGTCAAGCCAGCATCCATGCTTAAATCCATTTTAGCCTGTACTTTCACTTCCAGATTCAATTGGAAGCAGGATTTTTCTTATCTGCTTCCTAAATTGGTTTGCAGGGCTGGTGTGCTCTTCTTCCCCACAGCTGTTTCTCTTCAGGCTGGACACGGCTGCATTTCAGTAGGAAGCAGCATGATTCCCATTGGTCCCGAGTGTAGCATGCTGAGCACTGCAGGATGGACAGAGGAAGGCAGTGCTACAAACATCAGCTCTTTACTTCTGTCACTGGATGAAGCCCTTGATTTCCCAGGAACACATCACAAGTGCCGATGGGGTCTCCTGGGAGGCCAGGCACAGCATCTGGTTACACGCTGCACAGTGCATGAAATTCCTTTTGCTCAGGAATGAGAATGAGGTGCTGGAGGGTGGCAAGCTCCTCCTGCTTGCTTCTGAGCCAGTATGTGCAGCTAGTGTGTCATCCTAGCCAGCACGCAGGGCTGCTAACAGAGCCAGGGCAGGTGAGGCAGATGCAATCTACAAGTTCCTTACATCTGACCTATGATCTTGGAGGGTTTCCCCCACTGGATAACACTAAAGCTGAGGGCAGAAGCACCTCAACAGGCAGATATCTGTCAGAAGGGGATATCACCTTGTCCTGAGATAAGTGCCCCAGCAGCCTGTTGCCATGGCTGCCAGCACACACCCCTCTCTGGGGGTGGCAATGACAGGGCTCGTGTAACGGAGTGGCTGAAGGACTTGTCCAAGTGGGCTGGCACTCAAGCACTTACCCAGAGTTGAAAGGTGTCAGCACTTGCATTTCAGTCATTCCCCTGCTCTGACAGGAAGGACCCAGTCCCCTGGGCTATGGGCTGGCACTCAGCCACCACCTCATGATGAAGGGCTGCCATGGTGTCGGTAGAAATGCAGACTGCCTGTCACTGGAGAGCAAGAACCAGCAGGCCTGTGGGTGCTGGCTGGGCAGACTCAGGGCACCCTATGTGTTGGGTATCTCCCATGTGTTCCCAGGGGGCTGGGGCTGCTGTCTAGTGAACTGCTTAGCTTCATCGTGGCAGTGGCAACCCCTCAGGAGGCATGGAGGTGCAACTGGAGATGGATGGCACAGGGTTCTGCTGATGGCACAGGGCTGCACTTCCCATGAAGGAAGCTTTTGGAGTTAGAGCCTTAGTGAATCATGCCAGTGCCTGTCTCCAGCTCTGGCTTGTGTTATAGCTTGTTTAAGTTTGACTTTGGTCTCCCACTCTTCTGGGCAGCTCTGGGGGGGGGGGCCTTCCAGTGCCAACATGCTAACGTTGAGGGCCATCAGCTCACAGCCAAAGAGTGGGTACAGGCATGGGCCAACAGCTCAGGAGACTGATGGCAAAGTAAATGCCTACGGCAAGGATGAAGAACCAAGGGCTAGAGGGTTGGAAATCATAGATTAGCCATGAGCCCCTTACTACTTTACCCCTGCAAGCCAAATAGCCATTGTGTACTCAGGCACCCTCTGCCAAGCTGGCAGAGGCTCCAGCTGCTGTGGGGTATTGGGGTACACACCTATGGCAGCCCCATGGGCTTTGAGGGAAGCTCAACAGTCCCTCTCCCAAGGAAGGTATGGTCATCTAAGGGATGCCAAATGTCCTGGAATAATTTCATGGAGGCCAGCTTCAGCTGCCTGCAAGGCTCAGCTGAGCAAAGGAGAGTGGCAGGAAGGTGAGGCACCCAGCAGGTCTGATGCTCCCTCCCAGACCTGAGCCAGCTTTTGGCTGGAGGTCATCCCCTCTGGCCGAGCTCCCTGGGGAGCATAACCAGCCACATTGCAGGCAGGAGCAGATGTGAAGCCTAGAAAGGCAAGTGGTAGCTCTGATTTTTCCAACTCTTTCCCAAGCTCACGCTTCATTAGTGAAATTGCTGCCAGAGTTCTTGGTGCCTGGAGAAGAGCCCATGCCAGCAGCATGCATGGGGTGGGCTGCATTGTCTGTGAAGTGGTGGCATTCCACAGCCTGGCCCCTCTCCTGCTCCATTTCCCTGCCTGCCTCTATTTCCAGCCATCTGTAGTGGTGTCCGACAATGTCAAAGCTAATTCCCCTTGTGATGCAGTGCAACATTTTCCCTTTCCGAACCTCACAACCTGACCCCTTGTTTCCATGTACTATTAAGATACTTCACATCCCTGTTTTCCAAAGTGCGAGCCATGTGTAAGCCCTGTGCAGAGGCAGAGCTACACAGCCAGGGACAGACTGCTGGGGCTCAGTCACAAGCCTGCATGGGCGCACAGTGGGTGCTGAGTTCATGTAGGTCCTACCCAAGGTGTATATTCCACTCCCTTATTCTCTTCCATGTCTGGGGCTGCAGAGCTCCAGAAAGAGCTTCTGCTTGGTATTAGCAACTGCCTGATACAGCAACTGTCTGAGCTTCTTCCAGCATATGTCTGAGGCAGTGGCACGAGAAAAACATGGTAGACACATGTATTCACACATGGCTCCTTCCCCTTGCATATACTCACATACACATCCCAGGCCCTGCCAGCCTGGTCCTGGCTGCTCATCTCTCTTGGGCTATGAGCATCTCTGCCTCCTGGACTGCTCTGTGGCAGAGGAGAAAGGGATGGGGCTGGAAGAAGTCTTTGCAGCCAGGGAATATAACTATAACCCCTCAGCTAGCCCCCCTCAGAGCCAGCCTAAGATTGCTGGGACCATTAATGAAATGTTTTTGGCGGTAACCCTGTGATGCGGCGGGGGCTTGAAAGTGAGAGGGAAATGTCAAACTCTGCTGTAGCAAAATCACCGCCTTGGAAAAAAAAGAAAAGAAAAAAAGCAAAGCAAAGCAAGAAGTAATATATCTTGATCCCTTTTCCCCCATAAAACCCTGGGAGGCTTGTGGAAGGAGCGGAAAGACTGAGCTAAGCCTGCAGGAAATTAAACATGAAATGAAAACAAGCTCAAGTTATTCAATTCTCTCATCCCAGGCTCCAATTTCCCATTCCAGGCCACTGATAAAATGGTGTCCAGTTTCAGCGCTCAAGGATGAATTCTGGCTCTGTTTTTGCAGTCTGGAAAGCAAAGGGCTGGTGCCCATCTCTGGGAAGAGGGGAGACGCCTAGCCTTTCACAGAGGGATGGGATCCTAGACACAGACAGATGGAGGCTGAGCAGAGGGAGGAGGGCAGTAGGGTTGGAGGACAGGAATGGGAAGAATGGATACTGTGAGGCTGCCAGAGGAGAGCAGGAACACAAGAGACTTGAACATGGTGGGCAGCTGTTGTCTGCACCAGGGCAGTGATGCAATGAGGGTTGTCAACAGGGCGTGAGTGCAACCTCATGGCTGGCAGCAGCCCACCACCACATGTGTGCAGAGATCAGCCTCACCTTCCACTGCTGCACTGGTGGGCATAGGAGACAGGGGAAAGCACCTTTTTCTTTTGCTTGGAGGAAGGACAAATGTAGTGATGCAGCCCCCCACTATCCAGATGTGGCCAGAGTGGCCTGAGTGATATCCCAACTCAGCCCATCCACCTGTGCCCTGTGCAGGGCACGTGGGGCTTGGTGGTAGGGGCAGACTGGCAGTGCCAGGGTAGAGGCAGCAAGACAGCAAGCAGGAGTCTCCTGCTTGCTTTCTTTGTCTCAGGCCATTCCTGGCCTCTCCTCCCCCAACAGCACATCAGCTGTGTATGCATATGGGTTAAGGTACCAGCATATGGCTGAATGTTTATGGAGACATGAAACATTTTTTGTTCTGTAGATTTTTATAGGGCTTATTTGGTACATCATGGCTTATCAAAGCATTGTCTGCAGGAGTCAGATACATGACATTACCCTACACTCTCACTCTAACTTAACACTGAGATTCAGCCCACAGTAACTGCTGGTCTCTGCACGAAGTACCCCATCCCAACCCTAGAGGACATGCTGCACCAGCCACTGCAACCTCCGCTGTCACATCCCCATCCCACAACAGTTTCTCTTGACAAAAAGTGACAGGCAATGAAAGGAAAATGGACTTCGGTCAGGGTTTAGATTTGCTTTTTAAAAGCAGACATCTTCTAAGATTGTGGAAATACTGAGGATCAGTTGGGTTTTTTGCTGACATCTTCACATTGTCTTGCTGTCTTGTTTTCCCTGGAGCACTGTGGAGGCCTGGAGAAACCCAACTGCAAAATACCAAGCAACCTATAAGTGTTTGGACCAGAGGTGAAAGGAGAACTTTGAAAAACAGTCCAAACCTTGCTACAAGTGTTTTGGACTCATGGCTTACTGCCAGCCTTCTGAGTGTCTCCATTGCCCATGGCACCAACACTTGGACTGAAGTCACTCTTCTTTTTCAGCCTAATGCAATGATTTTCAACAGCCTCCCAGCCCACCAGACACATGGGGATTGCAGTTCGGGAACTGCCAGTTTAAACCATTTTGCTCTGCCAGAGCCAGTTCAATCCAATGCATAAATGTGGCAGAGCAAAGGCTGAGACCCCACTCTGCTTCAGCTGGCCCGAGGAAACCTCCCTGCGGTTCCATCAAGGCAGCTGCTGCGCTGTCCTGGGAAGCTGAGCACACAAACCCTGCATTGATGTCTTCAAAGGTCACACCGCAGAGCAATTCAGCACTGGGGGGGCCTGTGCTTGGCCATCCTGCTCCCAGGAGGAACGCCCAGGCAGGCTCCCCTGCATGGCAGCACAGGTGTGCGGGCAAGGCTGCCGGTGCCTACGCCAGGAACAGAACGGCCGCATATGCCTGGCATATGTTCGTTCCGGCCTCACGCGCAGTCAGCACTCTGCTCCCTACCTGTTCCCCACCCCTCTGTGCACAGTGGGGCCTCCTCCGCCCGAGGAGGAACCGGGTCACCACCGCTAACTTTGAATCTGCAGATCAAAGCAGCATGATCCTGGCCAGCCCTGAGACTGGCCTGCAGCTGGGCTGGAGTGGCTGTGCCAAGAAGAGGGAGAAGAAAAGCAGACAGATGCCTGGGGCATCAAACCTGCTCCAGTAGGATGCTCTTCGTGTACTGTGTGTGCTCAACTGGGATGATGTTAGGACCTTTCTGCTAGTGCTTTTTGAATCTGCTCAAAATACTCATAGGGTTTTTGATTTGAGGTGGGGGGATTAAGAGCAGCTGTTTTGGGTAAGGCTAGTCTGGCTAGCTTGTGGATGGCCCATGCCAGTGACATTGCCATGGCCGTGGAGCAGGGCAGTAAACCCTACACCATCTGCAGCCTGCATGGGAAGGACATGCCCGGGTGCTGCATCATCTGCTCACTGCACCAAGCAGACCATAGCATGTGGCCAGACCCTCAGCTGCCCACTTGTACCATGGGGCCGACAGCTGGGCCACAGTGGGGAGCTGTGAGAGACCAGTGCAGGGCTACCTATGGTGGGAAGGGGGAAACTGATGCAGCAGAACCTGAAACAACTCTTCCAGCACAAGCAAGAAGGTCAGCTCAGATGAGAAACCCCAGCCCCTCGTGTTTCTCTCTCCCTGTAGCAGCTTCTAGTTGCTGATGCAGGCTACAGGTGGCACTGCTGTCGTGCCCCCCCGAGAATTGGCCTGCCACCCCACCCTCTGCCAAGTGTCTGGCCTGTCCTCCTCTTCTCCTAACACATGAGTTTCCTACCTGGTGTCTGCTTTCCCCAGCTGCTTGCCAAGCAGCAAAGCTGCCCCATGGCCAGGCATGGGAAGGGCCAAGCTGTTTGTTACCGATGCCCCTGCTACCCCCCCCAGCGAGTCACCGTGTAAAACTCGAAGCAGAGCCAAGAGGCTCTAGGACTGCTCTTTTCATGCACTGGCGTGACCTGCACAACCCAGCCCCTGGTGATCGCCCTCATCTCTCAGTGCCTTCAAAGAGGCTCTTGATTGATGTGTTTCCCTGACTCACGAGCTTCAAGAGGCTTTGAAGACACTGGGCCAGGCTCTGATCTCTCTTAGGCTGATGCAAATCAGGAGCAATGGTGCTGACAACAGTGCAATAATCCACACTGATGTCAAGCCAGTAAAAATAAGAGCAGAAAGAGAGTTTTGGTCTTTGCCTTGAAGGGATCTGAGCAGCACTGTGAAGTAGAGAGCTGCAAACTTTGCGAAGAAAACTCAGTGTAAAGCAAAGAACACTGTAGAAGGACACTTGCCCTTTTCTGCAGCTAAGGAGGGAAGGGGTGTTAGGCTTTTTCTCTCTCATCACAGTTAAGAAAAATAACCCTTAAAGCTTGGTGAGAAATGCAAGCTTCAGCCAACAGCATTGTCATAGCCAGAATTAGGCCTGGGGAAAGCCCCATCACTGCTGGTTTCAGCCAGGCAGCAGCACACATATATTCACACTTCTTGTCTGAGACTGGCTGACAGCAGGAGAGCTGTAGGCAGAGCCTGGGTAACAAAGATTTCAGGGTGAGAGGAAGATGGGCTATCCCAGGACAAATTAGGCTGTGGGAGGCAAGAGCTGTGAATGTTACCAGAGAGGCAGTACACCCACCAAAAGATGGGCATCCCCTTTTGCCTTAGGTGTGCCCAGTCTAGCAGCAAAGGCTGGTCCCAGACCTCCAAGAGATGCAGGGCAGGACTGTCACTCTCCTGCAGAGCTTGTGTGTGGAGGAACACCCATCTCCATGCCATGCAAAACCACCCACCTGGGGAGGGCCTGCCCACTGGCAGGCTCCTCAGGGCTGCCAGGCTCCCAGCCACTGCCAGCAGCAACCCTTGGTCACAGCCCCCCTCTTGCTCTCTCCCAGGTGTGGTTTCAGAACCGGAGAGCAAAATGGCGCAAGAGGGAGCGGTTCGGTCAGATGCAGCAGGTCCGGACCCACTTCTCCACTGCCTATGAGCTGCCTCTGCTGACCCGTGCTGAGAACTACGCCCAGGTGAGTGCGTTCCCCTGCCCGGGCCCATCTGTCCCAGTGCCTGCTGGACACACTGCCTCTGGTCCCAGTCCTCTCCAAGTCATGTTTCCCTTCTCAGGTTCATCCACCTGCCCCCAGGCAAGGTTGCAAGAATGCTGGTGCCAGGGCTATATGTGTTGTCAAGCACTGAAGGGCTGGGAGTTTTTTAGTCAAGTATCCTGCCTAGCTCCCTTATGCCCTCGCCAAGAGCAGCCATCTTTAAAGCAGGTATCAAGCCCAGCCCTGTATGCCATAGTGCAGCACCCTTTGGGCACAGGTCACCCTGCTCAGCACATCCTGTTACACTGTCCTTCTCCCATCATGTGTGCTGCTGCCCACTAACTTCATTTCAGTTTGAAAAAGATCCAAAAGGCTAATTCATGTCTAAAGAACAGCAGTTCCCAGGAAGGTTTCCTGTTACCATGTCTGGGTTTCCATGCTCCTGGGACATGGTGGTTGGACAAAAGTATTTTTTCCCGGCAAATTCTTACAGCTATCTCCCAGTGATGGGCTGTGGTACCTACAGCGCACTTGATGATATCTGAGGATGCTTCCCAATGGACTTGTAGGTTTATGCTCCAAAGGAAGTGGGGGGAGCAGCCTTGTTGGGGTACCTGAGGCTGCTTCTGGGTCCTGTTGAAACTCTTCCTGCCCTGACCCTGGCAGCAGATCACACAGCTGCCTCACCTCCTTAGCTTCCTGTCCTGGAAAACTTTTGACCAAAGTAATCTCTTAAGCATTGGGCCAGCCCCCATTTCACAATGCTGCCTTCAGAGAATGCCAGACAGGCGTTTGTTTGATCAAGGGCTAGGCTGTGCCCCTACAAAGCACTCCCTCCATCCTGCACTCCTCTTCCCACCACCCAGAATTTGCTTGAGGGCAGAGTTCTGCAGGTGTGATGTTCTGAACCTGACTGTCCTCACAGATGTGCTGGGAGTCCTCCCTTCCTGACTCCCTGGCTGTCAGGTATCTCCCCAGCCAGTGCTGTACCAGTGCTACCCCACAGCCAAGCCAGGAGCATTTGACCTCTCTCCTGCTTGGCGTCTCCCCCAAACTGAACAAGAAACCTTTATGAAATAGCTGAGAGATGCCAAAGCAACTTTTCAAGCAGGGGACACTCTCAGCAGCGTTTTCAGCATGCCCTTCTCTTATCTTCGTAACTTACACTCCCTCCACACAGCTCTCTTCTCCCAGCACCAGAGATCAAAAATTTGAAAAGCAATTTGCTGGAGGTAAGAGATCAGAGAGGGCCCAAGGGCCCATGGTGGAGAGGTGCAGTGGGATGAAGGGCCCTTTGCCCTCTTGCTCCAGCCAGCTGCTCATCTTCTCCCCACTTTCATCCTGCATCCCCATGTCCCTCCCTGCCACAGCACACCTGTTTCCACTGCCAAATACTGAGCCCCCCTTTCTTCTTCTGCAATATCACTTCATAAGTGATAACTGCAGGAGCCCAGATGGTCACTCGAGGTGGCCCTCCAGGGCTCTGCTCTGCAGAAGGGTGGACAATGCTGCCTTGATGGGCTGGGTAGAGGGGCCAGGAAACTGCCTGTGCGGGGGGCTGCAGGCAGCTCAGCTCCCACAGGCATGTCTGTGTGGTACAAAATAGCTCTTGCCTGGGCAAAGCTGCTCTGGGCTGGGGCAGGAGGGCTAGATCAGCATCCTTGCAGCACCCCTTTCTGCCTGCTCCCTGTGTGATGGGTGTGACCACAGAAACACATGGATGACATAAGGTTTTCTGTGCTGAGAAAAGTGCTCATGGTGCAAATAAAATAAGAGAAATGCCTGGGAGGGGAACAGGTAAACAGAGAGATGCTATGGCAGAGGCTATGGCACAATCCTGCTCCCTTCAGGTTAGCCTCCTGCAGTCCCTGCCCCTATCTGGGCTGGCATAGAGGTTTTGGAGTGGATCTGCTGGCTCACACTGGCTGCCCCTCATGCGCAGGGCTGCCCTGCAGGGCTGGGGCTGGACACAATCCATCCCCCCCGGCCAGCTGCTGGACGCATCCTGCTCAGGGCAGCCCTGATGCTTTTTTTTCCCATCCCCAGATCCAGAACCCCTCCTGGATTGGCAACAATGGAGCTGCCTCTCCTGTGCCTGCCTGTGTTGTCCCCTGCGAGACAGTGCCCTCCTGCATGTCCCCCCATGCCCACCCCCACGCGGCTGGCGGTGTCTCTGAGTTCCTCGGCGTCTCCGGCCCTGGCAGCCACGTGGGACAGACTCACATGGGTGGCCTCTTTGGCACGGCTGGGATGAGCCCCAGCCTCAATGGCTACGAGCTGAACAGCGAGCCGGACCGCAAGACCTCCAGCATCGCTGCCCTGAGGATGAAAGCAAAGGAGCACAGCGCCGCTATCTCCTGGGCGACATGACAGGGCTGCAGCCCAGTGCCCATGACACGGAGAGAGCACATAGGGACAGCTGAACAAATCCATCCGCTTGGACGCCAGACAGCAGTTGCCTCCTCGGGGATCTGAATGCAGCACTTTTAGCTACCCTAGGCATATAAAGTACATATGTTAATGTAAGTGGAGTGTTTCCAGCATGAACATGGCAGCTCCTGGCTTCCTGGGATCAGGCAGGGAGAGGGAGGCTGTGGAGCAGCACTTCTTCCATCAAGATCTGGGATGAGATGCATCCCTCCTCACCACCACCTCCCCAGTAACCTGGGCATTTTTTTCTCCCTGCTATTTTTTTGACACCAGATCTGCCTTTCCAAAGAGCAAGAGCCCACTGGCTTTTCAGCAGCTTCTCCCATCCACCCACACACACACACACACATGCACATACTCTCTCTCACACACATATTTTCTGCCCTGGGCAGGGGACTGGATGGGAACTCTGGCACCAGCAAAGAGACACCTCTCGTGCTGCTTATGTCATTTTAGCGGGAGCTAAGACTTCCCACAGTTGAGCAGTAACAGGGCTGGGAAGATAACTAAGAAGGCAACATTAGCCCACCTCCTTCTACCCAGCTTTCTCTCCACCTTGTAGTCTGAGATGAAGTCCACGAAGGGGATACCCTTTTACCCAACATGGCACAGTGCTATCATGCTGAGAGTCTTTGCCAGCCCTCTGGTGACCCAGACAAAGATGCATCCCAGCAGACAGTATCTTCCCAAGCATGGCTCACTGCCTCAGGGAGCACCTGGGCTTTGCTTTTCCTGGCTGTGGTTGATGATGGGGCTTATGTGCATGGTGGGGCAGCAAAACGTTTCCTCCAGCTTTCACTGGGTTGGCAATCACTAGCCTCAATTTAGAGACAGTAGCTAAAGCAGGGAAGCCCAGATGCTGTGTAAATCTACAGGTCCCCAAAGAGACGGCTCTGAGAAACAGCTCAAGTGCTAGCACACAGCCACAGTGGCATGAGACCATCAAATTCCTCATATACCTTATCCTGGGGTCAGATACATGCAATGACAAGCCCTCCCTCAGCCCTCCACTCCAGTGCCTTGCTGCACACAACAGCTGCAGGCATTTCTGCACAACGGATGGCACAGGGAACAGGCTGGGAAGGGATCCAAAGGTGGATGAGGTGACGCTGTCCAATCTCCAGCTACCTTGGACCCTCTTCAGCTTGTTGAGGGAGGAGGAGACACCAGAACTTGCCTGGTTTGTCTGAGCCAATGCGCCTCCCCATTTTTCCCTCCCAGTGCTCTTACCTGCACAGCATTTTAAGTAAGGTCTCCTTTGCAAGGCATTTTAGAAGTTTTTCAATGATCTTCTAGTGCTAGGAATAATTTTGGAACATCTTTTTACCACTGAAATACTACCAGAGAGAAGCTGAAAGTCAGCTGAGCACTATCACTGCCACAGTATGGCTACACAGGCTGGGCTTGGACTGGGGCAGCTGTCCTCAAGATTTGCAAGGGACCTATAGGATATTACTCACATAAAAATTGGTTTGTCACCCTGCCCTGTCTCCTCATGCATAGTGTTAGGGGATCTTGTAGTTCGAGATCCAGGAATATCCAGTGGTCTTGGAAAAGGCTTCAAATAAGCTACAACCAAATGTCAGGTTTCAGGTTAACAAGCTATACAAGTATTTCCATAGTGTCTAGACTGTCATATACTACCTAAATGATACACCATTTCTAGGTCAAAAGTAATATATTTATTGGAATATGAAAAGATCAGTAGTACTGTCTCTTTTCTCTTCTCAGAAATGCTAAGAGATGCCTTCCCTGGTACACACAGGGAGCCAGCATGCATTTAACCACAGCGTCTGTATGACCAGGGTCTCTCCCATCCCAAGCAGCCAGGATTTACATCCTAACCTAAACATTCAGCTGAGATATTGGGCCATGGTGGGTTAGATGCTAGAAGTGATGCTGATCACTGAACAGTCATGCTGACTAGTTGGAAGTGTACACCACCCCTAGTGGATGCCTCAGAAGCCATTGAGGTTCCCAACCACCCAGGGACCAGTGGCAGGAGGCGATTTCTCCACTAGATTTTGTGCAGGCAGCTGAGTATGGTGTTGAGAGCACTTTCCCAGGTACACCAAAGAGCATGATGCTTCCCACAGTCAGCAGGCAATCTGTGAAGGGCCACTGCCCAAACAGCCCAGTAGCACTACTGACAAGGCAAATTAGCAACAGGGAGAGCTAAGGAGAGGGTGATGGGGCAGGCAGGCACACGGGAATGCATCCCGCATGGCCTACAGGTACCAAAGGCAGCTCCAGTGGAGGACTGTAGTTACTCAAGAACTTAGCTGCATTCCCTACTGAAGTTAAAGGGTAGCTTTTCCTCACAGACTTCCACAAGGCCAGGATTTCATCCAAGCTGTTTAATAGCCCAGAGGATTAAGTGCTGTATCCCTGTCTTGTTAGAGACTCCTGGCAGCCGACTTGGCATTTAGAGAGGCTTGGCCCCCACTTTCTCTCACCTTAAAATTCATGTGGAAAGCACATGTTGGACTCACTCAGTCTAATTTAAATGCCACTGCACATGCCCAGCCCTCAGCCTGCCTGAAAGCATCATGAGGGGAGGGGGGATGTTGTTCCTTGGACCCCCCTACTGCAGGGCTCCCTTCCTGCCTCCTGCCATGGGGAGCCCTGCTGCTCACCAGGTTCTGCTCCACCTCTCTGGGTGCTGCTGCTATTCTGGCGAGCTCCCTTGTGGGTCATGCTGGAAGGCGTGCCCCTCACAAATCTCCAAAAGCAGTTTATTCTGGCAGTTTTTAACCCATATACATCTGTATTTACACACATTTTAAAAATTTATTTCAAAGGTTTTTTTAAAACTAGCTGTTAAATTAACATGAAAAACTGTATAAATATATATATACACATACATACATATATATGTGTGTGTATCTTAACCTAGCAGGTCTGCAGCTACTGCATTTCTTAAGGGTCACAGGGTCGGTGCTGTTCTTGCAATCTCAAGTTACCGTGATGATACCATTTTAATTATTATTATTGTTATTTTAATACCTTTCAATTCTATTTATGACTTTCTTCTCTATTTATTTCTTATTTAGTATTTTACTCCTGTCCATACATTGAGTCGCAATTCCCTGGTTTGGACTTGCCTTCAAAGCTGCAAGCTTTGTCCCCAGCCACTACCAAAATGTCTCACAAGCCCCAGCCGCTCTGACACCTGCCATTCCCATAGTGGCATCCTCTGTGGATGCAGCCCAGCTAGCTGGACTCACCCATCCGCTCTCTCCAGCCCCATGACGGTAGCAAAACATTTCTCCCAAGCAGTCCTGGCCCTGCCTATGCAGCAGGTACCATACATGGGGGCCAGCTTATGTTGCCCATGGTTAGAAACTACCAGAGATGTCCCAGAGCTTTGAGACCAGGAGGATGGATGTAAATAGTGAGAACAGCACGGGTTCCTGGCACTTGTTTAAAAGTGGTTGGGTACCACTCGCTGCCAAGTACTCAGAGGCACTTCTTGCCTACAAGCAGTAGTTAATGCTTTGGTAGCAATTGCAAACCAGTGGTGAACCAGGCTTGGGCTTGCTGGGCCCTGCAGGGTCTAGACTCTAAGGGCTGCTGTGCCTGAACAAGCTCATGGAGAGGAGTGAGACAGGGGCCAGGTCAGCCCTCAGGCATGTTGCCTGTTGCCAGCACTGCCACCCACCTGTGCTCCAAGTGGGCTCTCCAGCCAGTAGCCAGGCTCCAGCTGCCGCATCTTGAATATGCTACTCAGCTCAGGTCTCACTGCCCCAGCACCTACCTGAGTAGAGATTATTGGGAAGAGTACCAGGACAGCAACATGAAAAGAGAACCAACTTCGTTCTCCTCTAGAGCCCATGGCAAAGTGTGAGTGAGTTTGCATCCCTGCCAGAACACGCATCCCTGATGGAACACATCTGGCCTGAGCCGTGAGCATGGGCAGGGTGTTAGGGAAAGGCCATGTGTAGCGACAATGTGTCACACATGAGGTCACAGAGCTGCAGCACACATGGCTCCACCTGCCCCATCAGCCACTGGCACACAGCACAACCCAGGGCAGGTGTACCCGGTGTGCTGCAGAGCAGTGCTGCCTGCTGGTTTTCTCCAGTAATGGAGGTGTTTTGGGGTGGGGAGGTGCGTTTCCCTGATTCCCAGAGCACACTCAGACCGGGCAGCACGTTGTAAAACACTTTCCAAACAAACAAAGGCAAAAAGGTAGTTTCCTGGAAAAGGATTGAAAAAATAATCAAGCAGAGACAGAGCCCCGTGTTTATTTTGCTACTCTGACTGACACAGCAAAAAGCAAACAGACCGAGGGAGAAATTAAACCCAAATGGGAAGGGAGTGAAATCAGATGGAAAGTCATTCAGTCCTTTGCAGCTTCCCAAAGGGAGCTGGGAAGAGACGAGGGAGCGGCCTTGTACCCCCTTAACTCTTTGCTGGTAACACAGTTCCCCACTCCCCCCACATAGCTAGGTAGGTAGGTAGAGCTAGGACTTTTATACTACTGATTTTGAAGGACGGTTTTCAATGTATAATAATATATCGGTTTAGGTGTGCAGTGTTTGAAAGAGAGACTGGGAGAAAGAAAGAAAACAAACCTCAATCAATATTGTTGGTTTTTTGTTGTAAAATATTGTAACCTTGTATAAACGCAACCTTTTTTTTTTCCTCTTTAGCTTACCGGCCTGGGGTAGAACATACTAAAAAAATAAAAAAGTTTTTAAAAAGTTCAGGAAAAAAAAAGAATTAAAAAAATCATTAAAAATGTTGCCATGTGAGGTTTGTGCCATACAATGTTACTGCCTATGCAACCATGTATTACCTGTTCATTACAGTGGAATATTAAAAAAGAACAAACAGTCTTGCAGCTTGATTATTTTTAACTTTTTTGAAATAAGTTATTGCACTTGCAGGGTTTTTTTTCTTTTGGGGGGGAAGGGGGGTGGAGGTGGAGGGCTGGAATTTCCAGTCACCAATTTTATTTTTCTAGGTTTTGAAAGCAGTGACATCACTGGGAAGGACCCTGCTTCCCAGCCACCCTGGCCAAGGGGGAA